CCATCATAGTTGAAGTGGGTAAGCCAGCACGCTGGCTGCCATTGTCCCCTTACCAGCAGCCCAAATGCTCACGACGATGAGCTGGGCTGTCACCGCTTGGCCGCCGGTGGGGGGTTTGGGAGGCCGCATCGCACACAAACACCCACACACTCCCTCAACTTCCACGAACGCACACATACGCAGACTCCTTTCCACACGGACATGGACACACGCACAGAAACCCACACACTACCTCAACTCACTCGACTTAACACTTCTCACTACACACTTACCGGATAACTCGCACTCTGATTTCCTACGTGATGAAAAATGCTTTCGGGCCACTCGTCGTCTAGTTCATTTTTCTACACCTATCGTTCTCTCCTGCCCTCTTAGCGCTGCTCTTTCTGTCATTCTTTCTTTTGTTTCTAAGGCTTCTTAGGTATCTATTCAGGTTACTCACGCGAGCGCCGCCATGCGGCACCGTGTGTGCGTCAACCCCTGTTCCAAAGGGTGCGACCTTCCTTCGGGACAAGCAGGGGGACTGCCTGACTCTAAACAGCGGCAGTCCAACGAAGAGGCTGTTTTGAGTCACTGATATGGATTCTGGACGCAGAATCCACGTACCTGCTGAACAACTGTTGACCACGCTGTCCAATTTGATCGGTTTGCTTCATGGTCCTTCCACGTTTCTTCCCCTAAACCCACTTTCCTGCAGCTGCGCTCGTCACCGCATCGACTGTGCAGATCGATTTCGAGGCCACTTGGAAACAATGTTCAACCATACTGTTCTTGCTGACTCATGCGCCTTTCCGTTCCATCACCTTCCTTCTCATCGTGGGAATTGAGCTAACAGCAAACCAATGTCAGAGTGTGTGTAACCCTTGGAATCATAGGGACCCTTTTGGATTGGAGTTTGAACTTTTCCATGTCATGTCAGCAAGGGGACTGGAGCCCAATTGCCTACCCAGTCCAACGAAGCTATGGCATTTCGGTGGATGAGTGGTCTGATCAACCACTTGTACCTGCAAGTTCTGACCTCTTGGTCCCTGCTTCTAACTAGAACAAGCACTCCAGTCATTGCATCGGCTTGCTTTCTGCAGATGAGCACCACCGCCGTCATCTTGTCGATTTGGTTCGCTCTTCGGGTTTTGACTTGATGCACCTTTTGGAGGTCGCCTAGAGGCATCATAGACTTATTAACTCACCTGGACCCTTAGGCGTTCATACATGTGGCATTCATCAGTACGCATGTCAATAAGTGTGTCTCTCCTCAGTGACAGCTCAGGGTGACCCCTTCGAGTGGCCCCTGTGGACCCGTTGAAGGGGGGGTTGGTCTTTATCTCCACTGCCCGGAGATGTACAGCAGGAGGCTTATGCCAAAGTTGTTTGCCAAGACTTGATCGAGCATTGAATTCCAAGCTGGCCGTCTTCGAGCATGCCTCTAGGTGACCGTAGCGGTCGTGAGTATAGGCAGCCTTCGGGCACGCCACTACGTGGTCGCAGCGACCGAAGCTGGTTCAAGGTTCATTGGAACCTGTCGCAATCTTAGGCGCACACACATGCGTATACACTTAAACGAGGCGAGGTCTACCTAGGTGTTTCTAATGAGGTTTGGTTTCGTTGGTTTCCGTCCCCTTCATTTGGTTTCCCCTCTCATTCCGTTCTTCCCCTGGACACACCTTCTTTTCCTCTTTCGTTTCATGTCTTCCTGTCTTCATGTTCCATCATCTCACCTCCTTCCTTCTTTTGTGCACACACGGCCCGGCCCTTAGTACGCACGTGCACAACCCACCTTCAACCCAGGTTTCAGGTCGCCCAGGTTTTTACAATGAGGTGGGTTTTCATCGTTTGTCCCTGCGCACGTGGCTCCGTTTCATCGCAGCCACATACACCTCTGTCCGTCTTGTCCCCTTTTCATGTCTGTCTTCATTCTTTTGCCCTTGCTGCGCGCACACGTACACATCCGTCCTGCCCCTCTAGCGGGAGGCGTGTGTGTGTACCCTTGGAATCATAGGGACCCTTTTGGATTGGATTTTGAACTTTTCCATTTCATGTCAGCAAGGGGACTGGAGCCCATTTGCCTACCCAGTCCAACGAAGCTATGGCATTTCGGTGGATGAGTGGTCTGATCAACCACTTGTACCTGCAAGTTCTGACCTCTTGGTCCCTGCTTCTAACTAGAACAAGCACTGCAGCCATTGCATCGCTTGCTTTCTGCAGATGAGCACGACCGCCGTCATCTTGTCGATTTGGCTCGCTCTTCGAGTTCCGATTTGATGCACCTTTTGGAGGTCTCCTAGAGGCATCATAGACTTATTAACTCACCTGGACCCTAAGGCGTTCATACCTAAATGGGCGTGTGGCATGTAGTACGCATGTCAATAAGTGTGTGTGTGTGTGTGCGTATGTGTGTTGGAATACCCATGGATATCTCGCAATGATTCACAATGTTCATCTATATCCGGGTATAGATCCTTATCTTAGATACGTCCAATGTTCTTCTATAGATCTATATATATATATCTTATCTATCATATATATATATGGATCACAATATATCGATATGTTCTTCTAGATAGATAATTTGGATATCATCGGATATCTATATTCGGTTGCGGAGCTCAATGGCCTTTGATCACGGCAGCAAGTTGGCTAGCACCAGCCGGCCCTCAGTGAGGAGGTTGTGGAGAATGGATTTATATAGATCGAAGTGGTTTCTTAGGATATACATGGATATACAGTCCGGGGTTTCTCCTGTTTCTGAAGATGTTGAAAGACCCCATGAATTTGGAAGTGTCTCTTTGGTTGCCTTTCTGTTGGGGCTGCTGACTGCCGCTGGAGTTGGTCTGAAGCTCGTCGGACAAACCTCAAAGCGACAACACTGCCAGAACTCTCGGATGTGTTGAAAATAGGACCCGAGACTCGAGACAAGTACCAATCTGCAAAAGGAGTACCACGAAACGGCTGCAAGTCTAGAAGCGGAGCTTCCAGTGTCCTTGGAGTCCTTGAAAAAAGTAAACGTATGAATGAATGAACTGAACGTGCTTCCTGGACCCTTCCAATCCCAACTGGACAGTTTCCGCTTGAGGAGGCCACATGTCATGCAGCGCTTCACAAAGACTTCTGCCTTTGTCGCCGGCGACGATCTGGTTCCGGCCGGTTCCGTCACCGGTGGCGCGGTTCGCGCACGGCGCGCGAAAGCGGTGCCGTTCGTGGCCTCTGTAAGTGTTAATGATGCAGCCAGCATCTTCACATGGGCCTGCAACGTGCAGAGTACAGTACAGAGTACAGAAGAGTTCGAACATGTCCGAAGGAAAGAAAGGCTAAGAGAAGGGGGAAAAGGAAAGGAAAGGACAGGAAAGGCAAGGAAAGGGAAGGCAAGGCAAGGAAAGGAAAGCAAGGAAGAAACGTTCAAAATGAGTCTAAAGAAGCAACACATGAATAAGGAAAGAGTCTCGAAAGCGACCCATCAATTCTGGGGCACCGACCGAAGCTCGGCCATTCTGCGAGGAAAAGCTAGCCATGAGGAACCAGCTGGAAGGGTGGTGGCTTTGAAGGCCAACCTGTTCAACTGATCGGCTTGAGCATTCTTCAACCAAGTGCAGTGAGTGCAGTCAGTCTGGACACATTGCGCTCGATGTTCTTTAGATGCAGTAATGATCGTAATAAAACAATAAATATATTCCTATGTCATGCGTCGTATAAAATTTACTTGATGTCAAGTAGACATGTTGAGTTCTATTCTTTTCATGTTCTTTGTCCAGCAGGTCTCTAGATGGTGAACCATTGCCTCACATCTGCTCAGCAGTGGCTGCAGAAGAATGACCGGTCAATGGTCAAGCATGGTAAACCGTAGCGAACCTACTTCAACAAAGCGCCCGGCTCAATTTGTCAACCTTCCACAGACTGCGCAGCTATGGCGCTACCTTTTGAACTCAAAGAAACAATGCCTGTAATGTCACCGTTTGTAGGGTGATGCTGATGCGACATGATGCGACAACCAATCCAGACCATTCCCATCCTGCTTTACTTCGCTCTCATCGACCAGGCTTGGCCACGCCTTCCGTTAGGTCCTTGAAGATTTTCCAGACACTTCTGGACGAAAACACCATCCGCTTCGTAGCCCTGTTCCCGTTGAGGGTGCCTCACCTAGAGCTGACTCGGCCGACTCGGGGACCGCAGCACCGGGATCGTGGGGGATCTGCTACCGATGGTTCGCTCTAAGCAGCCAGGAGCAAATCATATCCATCGAGATTTGCTTGGGAAGTCTGAAGTCCTGCTCCAACCTGGATCGAACCTGGATCTCCAAAGCCAACGTTTGTGTCTTGGTGTCTCGATGTGTCTCGATGTGTCTCGTGTACATTGAGAAAATCATGTTCAATCAGACTTACTTGGCAGGGAGACGGCACCTTCTCTCACTTATCCTTTTTCCTCTCAATCTTTTCCTTACTTATCCTTATCCTTTTTCCAAAGATGAGGTCTCAGAACGAGGACATCATCACGAGGACCGCATCACCTTCGCGAAGCTCCAGGAGCTCATGGGATCTGGGATGCGCTTTGCATGGAAGATAGTCTTCAAGCACCAGCCAGGAGCACACAATATCCATCGAGATTTGCTTGGCTTGTGGGTCTGAAGCAGTATGAGCCAAGAAAGCCAAAGGATCTTCATCCAAAGCTTTCTCCAAGCAAATGAAATCCTGGATCCGGCAGGTCAAGAATTCGGCTGCCTTCTCACGCTTGGGGCCAACCGCACCGGCACTTCGGTCCAAACAGAGCCATGCGGCGCGTCTGCGGGTTGCGCTGCGGCTTCGTCTCAGGGCGGTTGCATCTCAGCGGATGGCTTCAGTGTTTGCCGGCGCCAATCATCTTGCAGCTTGAGAATTCGACATCCCTGCCTGGCACGAAACGCTGCAAACGACGCAGTTTGGTGTTACGACGCGTGTGTTCAATCCAACAAGCGGCAAACGAGCCCCGTCCATGGGGCCTAAACTCTTCTACGCTACGCTACGTACTCCTTGGCGACTGACGTTGCCCTCTCCTTTCGATCTCCATCTTTCACGACGCGGGCGCCAGGTTTGTGAAAAAGGGACACAAAAAAGGAACGGGACAAATAGCTGCTAAGCTCACTGAGCTGCTCATCCTTAAGAGCCTTGCATTGTTCCTTCGCAGAGAACCAGTAGTGTCTACCCATAACCTGAGCTGTGAAAAGATAGCCGGATGCCAAGGGTCAAGGGTCTTCTACAAAGCAGACATCCCAAAACCAAATCGGCAGTGAATGCAAGTCCACGCATTTCCAGGAGTCCCAGGCGCTGTATCAGGACCTGCACGTAATCCCAGCCTTTGTCGTGACGACAATGCATGCTGTCAGGGTCAGGTTCTTCACTACGGCCTTCAAAGTATTTCGAAGCTTGTTGGAATCTAGGGCCCCAAAATAGGAAGCTTGTTCTTTAACCTGGTCATTTGTTGTTTCCATGTGTTTCCAGGAAAGAGTCTAGTCATCTCCTTGCAAGCATGTGGCGGAAGCCTCCGATCGTGCAACTGTGTGAAGTAACGTAAGTCGGACTCCTGGCACAAGAAACAACTCTGAACCCCAAGGGTCATAAATGCACTTAGACCATTATAGAGGTCAGTCACTTTAAGCCCGCTCCTACTTAATTAAGTAAGCGCCTACTGAATTGAGTAGCAGGGCGACTAGTTGGCTTTTAGCTATAGTTATATAGCTTCTAGATCTTCTAGTAACTGGACGCAGGATAGCTCACGCTTGCACAAATGATTTGGTTGCTAAAAATCTACCAAATGTCATATATGCACTTACTTTGGTATCTTATAGGTTAGCTTTGGTGCATTTAGCGGGATGAGTCTATGTTGGATGGGTTGATGTTGGATCAGTCAGCAGGTCTCCTTGTCGGCATCGTCAGGGAAGAAGCTTGGATCAAAGAGCATGTGCCAAATGTGTTCGAACCAGGCGCAAACGCCCTTGTTGAAGGGATCATTCACAGACAAGTCGGTCCTTCTCGAAATAAAGCCCCTCGTGCCCGGCAGAAGCTCGAAGGAGGCGCGAGCCGAAATCACCTGCGACAAGTAGCGCCAGTACGCCGGGGAGCGGCGTGAGATGGCGCGGCGCGTCACCAGAAGTTGGGAGAAATCGTAGCCACCCAAGTCATCTCCACCAACAGGATCCAACTTGCGGCCGAACGCCATGCGCCACAAATTTTGCAGCAAAATCGGATTGTAGCCACTGTCGCAGGGGCCGATCTTGCCACCTTTCCATGGCTCCACATCACAATGGTACCTCAAATGTGATGCTACTCGACCCTCTGCAGTGACAGGCCCTTCATGTCTCCAGCCAAGATATAGAAAGTCCACATGCTGTGGCCAGGAACCACTCACCAGTGCCTGAAAGAGTGTGGATACTTTCCATGACCGAATGTGTTCTAGAAAATCTGGATGCAACAGGAGAGTGATATTGCCCAAGTTCTTGGCTGCCGATGCCCGTGCTAGATGATGTAAATATACAGCTGCATCTCCAGTGGGAACCTCTTCTTCAAGCACAGCCAGATGAAGTTGAGGTTTCAGGATGTCAACTGCCACGCTTCGAACACTTCGTCCTGCGGTAAAGAGTCTCAACAACTCCTCTGGCAGATCTGCAAAAATGCCCTTGGCCAGCCTGGCCACGTCCGCTTCGGGCACGGAGGCGTCCGGCTCGATGTGTTTGCCCAACAAGCCAAAGGTGCCACAAACCATGTAAATGAACACTCTAAACTTGGCGTGTCTCCAGTGACCCCGCAGCCGGTTGTACTCCTTCGCCCTGTGTGCTTTTTGGCTGTCTGGAGGCCAACCATCTGCATCATCCATCCGGGGTGGTAGAGATCGGCCCAGTAATGCGAGGCCGGAGTTCACGGCGTGGATCTCTTTGGGTGAACACAATGGAATCACCATGTCCGCCAACCAGGGTTGAGCTGGAGCAAAACGACTCTCTTCCTTGGACTCGAGTGAAGAAGGATTTCACAAACACGTACGTGCCCCAAGTTTGATGAGTCACCAGAGAATTCATCGGAAATCGTAGGACTGTGAGGCATGATGTCTTAAACAAATTCTAGACCTCTGGTGTTCGGTTCCTTAGGCAGACGTCTGCCTCGATTTGCTTATGCCGACCGGTCCTGCTTTCCATGCCGACCTGTCCCATTCGATTCGTCCCTTCTTCCGAACCGAGGAACCAGCTGCCGCACACGTTCCATGGCAGCGATGAGCACCTTCTCCCAACTTGGATGGTCTTCCTTGGAGTTCCATCTCCAACGGCCATGGAACTTCGCACTCTCCGCCAAATGCCGAAGATTCCTCGGAGGCGATGGCTTGTGGGCCGCCCGGCCCGGTTCCGGGTCATGGGTTTTTGTTTGGGCCTGTTTTGAGGGCGAACATACCGTGTGTGTGTGTGTGTGTGTTTTTGTTTAAAGTACAAAACACCCATCCTCAGTTGGAAATCAACCGAACGATGGCAATGGTCACCAAGCAGCCGAGCAAAGCGCCTGGCAGCAGGCAGATCCTCAAAAAGGCACGGTGCCAATGTTCCAAAGTCAATCCAAAATCACATTTTCGTCCAGACCTTTTTCGTCCAGCTTTGCAGTAAAAAACATTGTGAAAACCATCATTGAATTTTACCATATCGTATCGTGTAACTCTTCACTCATGTTTCGAAACTGCACTGAACTGGACAAACGGGGGTCTCTTTGCTCAAGTTCTTCTAAGAGTCTACATCAAAAAGCGACTCAGCCTTCAAGAGCCCAGCAAGCAATACAGCTGGAGGACACTCAGCAAGGCTGAAGGCAAAGTTGGAGATGATCTGGACGACCACGAGCTAGACACAGCTGGAAAGAAATCAAATGAATTATATTACAAAACAGTTGATTTACAAATGGACCGGCACTCCGGGAAGTCATTTATATAAGAGGGATTAAAAATGATTAAAGTCTTCTCACCCGTTCAAAAACACATGTACGACATGTTTTGCGTTTTGCTCATAGCACCCAAAAGGATGGGCAGGAGAAAAGCGCGTCGGCTCACTTCGCGCTGGCCGCAATGCGCGCGCTTCCGCAAACCAGTCCGTGGCCGCCTGGGTGAGTAAGGCCACCATTTCGATATCCCAGGTGCCTGGCGCTCTCGCGATCGCCAAGACTCTCGCTACTGCGCGTGAACGGGAGATGGGAGAAACATCCTCTTACAGCCGAAGGAGCCGTTCTCGTAGTAGTCAGCCGCTCTGGTGGTAAAGGTTCGAAAGCTTAGCGTTTCCCATCTCTTGCTGAGTTCTTGCCTCATGGCGCTTCTCATGGCGCTTCTCATTGACACAATGCATCACAAGAAGAACATCCGAAATCCTCTCTCAACGCACAAAAAGTTAAAGGAAAACATCCTTTTTCATCATCCTTTCAACATCTGTTCAACATCTCCTGGCCTCACTCGCTTCTCTCTAGCCTCTCTTTGACTTGCCTCATCCTCGCGGCCCAGCCCAGCAGCCTGATCGACTCCGCACGACACCCGTTCGCTTGTCAGGGTCGACCCGAAGACAAGCGACAAAGCCTGGGTTACTTCTACGTCCAGAAAGCAGAAAAAGGCTTAGAGGTTTTGAGGTTCTCACCAATTTTTTCACCTTTTTTGTTTGTTGTCTGTTTGTTTGTCTATAGGGGCTGCCAGCTGACCACCCTCCCTCCCACCCACCTCAAAATAATAAAGTTATTATTTTTAGGTGGGTGTACCCACCTGAGCATAGAATTATTATGGAGGTAATATAGTTCAGAAATAATAAACCACACAGCATGATAAGATAGGGGGGGTGGTATAGACCACCCACCTAAGTGGGTAGATATATGGGGACAGCTCCTAGGAAAGTGTGCAGTAACAGCAATCGTAGGTGGTTCAAGCGCAACCACCTACAAAATAATAATCGCGCCCTCTTTTCTGCCATTCTCTCTCGGTTTCTCTGTGGTACCGTGAACATCTGTCCAGTCTTTTTGCCTTGATGGGGCAGCCGATCCGGGAGAATATATGGAAAATATTGAGGACAAGCAAGATCTCTGTCCAAGGCAGGTCAAACAATCGCCGTATTTCAGGGGTGGGGCTGGCCTAAGGGACCTCTGAAGTAATTAGTAGATCGACTGATTGACTGGAATGTGTGGATAGCGTGATATGGTCCATAAAATTATTTCAGGGGTGGGGTACCCCCTAAACGACCTGTTAAATAACAAATAAGGTGGGGGGAATGTTGCCAGTATTTGCCACTTATTCCATGGAAAATATGGAAAAGGTTGAAAACATTGAGGAGTTTAGTAGAAGGAACCAGTAAGGGGGGCAAGGCTTACCCCACAGACATCATTAATAATATTCAAGTAACTATTTATTTTGGGGGTAGATGACAGGTAGCCCACCTGCCAAATAATATTATGTTTGTGCTCGAATGGATAGATCCCAGATAAAGGTAGCCCCCTGATAGGATGGATCCCAGCGAGAATTTGATGAGAGTGTGAAGCCGGCTGCTTTGGCTACCAGAGTTTTGGATCAGGTGTGCCTTGGCTAGTTCAAACTGATTGCAGCGCGACAAACGATGACTTGGTGGCAAAGCATAGCTGATTGATGTGGGAGTCAGACGTTCACGGTCTGACAGAGAAACCGAGAGAGAATGGCAGAAAAGAGGGCGCAATTATTTTTTGTAGGTGGTTGCGCTTGCACCACCTACGTTTGCTGTTACTGAACACTTTCCTAGGAGCTGTCCCCATATATCTGCCCACTTAGGTGGGTGGTCTATACCACCTCCCCCCCCCCTATCTTATCATGCTGTGTGGTTTATATTTTATATCTTGGTTGTCTCAGCTCTGTGGACAAGCACATCAAATTATTTTTGCTCTGGCACACGTACCCCTCCACCTGCCAAATAATTTCCAATAAACCCTGCATCATACCTTCTTCCACGGGTTATTGTTATTCTATGTCATTCAGTGCTAAAAATTATTTGGAAACCATATATCAAAATAATACTTTGTTATTTTGCAACATGCCATACCATATTTTTTTCTACATGGTAGATATTATTTTGACCCACCACCTACATGCCTTTCCAAATAATACTTTATTGATATTATTTCAAACAAATTATTTGGAGACGAGACGGTCACCTCAAAATAATTTCGCTCGGCAGGGGCTATGTTTGTCTTGTCCAAAGCAAAAAAGGAACTCGGCATCGATCCGTCCATCGGTGTGGCATCGATTGGATCGGTGTGGCGTTCGCGCCTTGGACCAGCGTTCCGAGGTCGCGGGCAACAGGTCCTGGTGGAGGCGAAGGCGCGGAGGGCGTCAGCCGGCGTCACTTGGGAGAGAAAGAAAGAGAGAAACGATGAGAAACATCCAAAAAACACAGCGAGTCCTCCTAGTAAAGTAAACTGAAAAAAAAGGGGACCCTGAGTCGGCCACATGCATGAGTTCGCCGGTGTGTGGGTGATATGCAGGGCCGTGGAGGAGAGCCTTGCAGTCGTAAGAGTAGGGCACACATCAAGACATCAAGCAGGTCACCTGCATTCTTACTAGTAACAAGAAGCTAGTAGGAGCAAAGGGCATCGTTATTAGGAGCAAGGACGCTACTACAAGTAGGGGCTCCTGGCATCGCTACGAACGGACTACAGGTCACCTGCGTGTCTTAGTGTATCTTCGGCTTTGTGCGCCGCTTGGGCAAGGGCAGGCATCAAAGCAGCTGGAGCCCAAGGAAAGGTGGCATCACAGCCAGGATGGTGATCTTGCCATGGCCCCTCCAGAACCTGTACCTGGAAGCTGGGCAGAAAAAAAACAAGTGGCCAGAAAAAACAAATGCGACTCCATCAGCGAAATGTCTGCCTGTACCTTTTTGGATCTTCCAATCATGTCTGCCATGTCTGCCTTTTAGCCGGGTTTGATAGATGAAAAGGCAGACTTTTGCACAGTTGGAACATCTAAGGCATGTTGTTCCCAACTCCGCGTCTCCCCCAACTCCCACCACCCCTATAGTCGAGTGGTAGTGGCTTCGGTGGCTTCCCTTCCGAAGTGGCGATCTCGGTGACCGATGGCGAACTTGCCGGTTCGGCGGGGCCTCCTGACCCGGTTCCGGCAGCTTGCGGAAGAGCGGATGTGGACAGCAGCGCTCGAAGGAGAAAAAGCCCTGTGAGAAGCAAAGGTCCAATCCTCCGGAGTGGTCATCAGCCGCGTCGGCTTTGGGGACACACAAGTCATCACAGTCTGCCGGAAGGTTCCCAGTGCTGATGTTTGAGCGGATGCTACGATGAATTACAAAATGTTCACCATGTTGGCATCATCATGTATGTGCAATTTGTATATAATAGATGACTTATTGACATTGCTGATTTACCGTTTCTCCCAACAACCCGCAAAATCCTCCGCAAAAAAAAAAGAAAGAAAAAATACAACGACAGGAAGACTCCCTCACTCGTCTCCAAAAACCGACTCTCTCGGTGAAGAAAACGGCAACGGCGCGTTGCCGACGCGGTCGCTCGGCCACGCGGTCGCTCGGCGGGTCCTTGGGGTCCATAGGCTTGGACGCTGCAACACTCCCGGTAGACCCAGTAGTCGGTCCAGCATAGCAGCTCCGCCATGGTTGCAGGTCCCCAGCCACACGGACCACCCGGTGAGGACGGACAGAGGGGGACGGGCCTTCGCCAGTCCGGGCGTGTAAAAGGTGGGTGCATGATTTGGATGTTTTGGAGCAGCTCCATAGAAATGCAAGGTGCAACGAGAGGTTCTCAACACCTAGGTTTGAATATGTACAAATGTTCTCATTGCTGCCGGCCGGTGAGCCAAGAGAAGTGTTGGCCCTGCAGAAATTGGCCCAAAGCGACTGCTGAATTCTAGAATGTGGGTCCACTGTTGGACATATGCCAAAAGCTCCTTTTGGCTGCACAGCTGCAATATGGAAGCACAATGTCTTAGAAGCGCAGCTTCTTGCGCAGGTAGAGGACATCCTGCAGTGCATAGCAGCAAAGCAAAACCATATACAACCCCAAAGAATGTGTAAAAGGCGAGAGAGAGAGAGAGAGAACTTCGATGTTCAATAATGTAGTAAACATCCTAAGTCCTAGTACCACCCCCAAACAGCAGTTCAAAATGCTCTCAAAAGAGTTACTTCGAACAACTAAGACAAAAAGTACACCGTCGCCCTATCTCTTCCGTTCTCAGTTCCAAAGACGCTCCTTGGAAGGGCGACCGGACTTGTCTGCTGGTGGTGCCTGGAACTTCTCCTGGAAGAGACCTGATTCCCACCACACGGGCGTTCAAAAAAAATGAAGTCACATCATCCACAACCCAACTGTGTTTGTGTGATTTCGTTTCAACAATGCGGTTCACCCAGGTTTGGAGTGAAGCACAGGTGGTTCCCATTTTGTTCCAGGCGGCTCTTGGCCATCTTTCTGGCTTCCTTGCGACCATCCAGAGAGTCCATCTGCTGGTCGGTGCAAATGGTGGCGGGGGACATCTCTGCAGGCACCTCTCTGGTGGCGAAAGCGCCAAGCGAATCAACAAAAACGCCAAGCGAAATAAAGCCATCACGAGTGGTGCCTGGGCGACTCGTCTTGCTTTAAATGGAACAAGGGACCGTGTTTGGCACTCGTTCCTGGCCAATCCTCCCGTGTTTTGCGGTACAACTGTTGAAACGGTGCTCTTTGCATTCTTTTGCCAATCACTTTGTTACAGCTCAGACTTGTTTGAAAGGTAGGTGAATCATGGTGAAACTATATCGCTAGTGTCGGAGAAGAGTCTGAGTCGAAAGTGATATGAGAACGTGCAGAAACATCAGATTCGACATCCCCCTGCCAAATGCTTCATTTTCACGAACCCCGTGCAGAATCGTCAGCATCGTTCCGGATGTTGGAGTCCCTGACACTCAGGCACCTGGTATCTGGTGGGCATGATGTGGTTGTAGTTCACATACTTCACGAAAGGCCTCAAAACAACGAGAGGACTGGAGACCAGGAGGAAGAACAGGGGCAGCCACCGTGGTTGCTCGGCAGCCACTAAGGCGCCCACTTCACCTTGGTGCGCTTCGTGATCTTCTTCTTGGACATTTGCCTGTCGCATTTCTTTCAACCCAAAAAATGCCCCCGCCGCGGGACCCTCGCGAGCGTCCGGCCTCGTCACCTTGAGCGGCGCTCGGTCGATGCCCGCCACCATGCAGTGGCCGAAGGGACGCTGCTTGGAGCCGTCATCAAAGGCCTTCACCACAATCGCCTGCGAACAAAAAAAACATTTAAAAAACGCCGTGTTTCGGGCTGTTTTTCAGCAGTTCGGAAGTGTTTCGGTGTCGTGTATTTCAGTATTTCAGTAGGATCGATGAAGCCATTTTGTTGCATGGCAATATTGAAGTGGTTGTTTTTAATATACGCTCAGGCTAGGAAGTCTGCATCCCGCTATGGGGAGAAATAGGATGAAATAGGCAATAGGTCTCTTTCGGCCGCGTCAGCTGGCAGATTTGACTCAGCTGGCCCCGTCAACTGGCTCGATTACAGCAAAAAAGCTTCAGGTCAGGCTAGCATTTGTAGCCACAGTCTGTGTTGAGTGAGTGGCTCAAGACCTACCCCTCCACATTGCAGATAATCTAAGAATCTAATAGTAATGTCCTTCAAATAGAGCTGTGTGGAGCTTGACAATCCCCAAAACGGTTTTGGAGGGAATCTGAAGTCAGTCAATGTATATGCTTTATTTCTTCATATTCCTGGTCTTTCCTGCTGAGTGGAAATGATGTGGCGGACGAGGTTCAGCCCTGCCTTCTTCCCAGCGTAGCGGCCCTTGCGATCGACATCAAGTGTAGTTCATAAATATGTTCATATATATCCATTGCTCAGTGACCGACTAGCCTGCAGCATGACCACCACGCGCCCAGCTTTCAGAAACTTACCTTAGTACGCAAAATGTTCAGAAGGAACCTAACGAATCATCACGAATCCCTAGGCCCTATCCATATCCTTATTCATCTTATTGCCATGTCTGCCATATCTGCCAATATATGTCCTGATGTTTTCCACATGTTTCCATCTCGGATCCGCTCGGACCGGCGACGAGTCAGAACAACGCTCCGCTCCGCCGTCGCCGCCGAAACCGACGCTTCTTCGCCGTGGTGCCCATGGTCCGCGCTTCCAGCAGTGCTACCGTGCGTCCGACAGCCGGTCCCTCAAACGGTTGCGGCGAGCAAGGTGCACAAAAGTCGAGGGATGCACAGATGTCGTTCAATGTGGAATTACAGCATGGCTGCCAGCTGCCATTGGCTTGAGGAAAGACATGCACGTTTTTGGGGGGCTGAATCTTTTTGAAAGTCAAGCCAGAATGGTGGTTGTTGCCCGAAAAACGCCTGCAATGTCCATCTAATTACTTGATGTCATGCTATTTCTGCAGCTAATATAAAGAACATCCTGGCACTTGACGGACAGACCCAGGCAGTATGACATCAACCACGTACATGCATGCCTCCAGCATGCGTCGTTAATCGATAAAAGTTGTTCGAAGCTCAAGGCTCTTCGAGCCAAGATCTTCGACCGGGGCTCCCAGAGACCGCGACGATTGCCAGATCCATGCCACGCGCGTTCACGCGCGTGATCCGCGATGTGTGAACACCGCAGTGATCGTGTGGCCGCGATGTGAGCTACATGCATTTCTGAAGGCGGCTTGAAATCTTTAAATCCCTTATGATAAGTTGTTGTCACAAAGCACAAATACCAAATACCTTGACCTGGCCATCGGGCTGCTGGGGGTGCTAGGCCAGCGATGCGGGTGCATCTGCAGCATGTCTCCAAAAAACGCCGGTGCATCTGCGCGTTCGTTCATCTCGAAGGTGTCTCGTTCTACTCCCGTCCTTTCGTTTTCGGTTCGTTTCACCCACTGACCCATCTCGGGGGACTTGTTCGACTCCTTCGAGCGTCCACGCGTCCAGCGAAGACCCAAGCGTGACATGCGGGACGGAGCCCAACACGCCCATGAGACGACACTCGTGGTGCAGGATTGCGGGGTGGATCTGCCATCCCCCCGAAGACCATCGAAGACCAATGTATTCGACCGGACCGTACCTTCGCATCCAGCCTTTCACTGGTTCAAACATGTTCAAACCAAGTAGAAACCTGTCTTGTGCGGCAAGTAGCTCGCATATGCTCTGGACATCGTTGCCGTTCTTGCTTGACATGCCGTGGATGGATGGCTTGCTCCTGGCATCGCTACTACAGGTCACCTGCGTGTCTTAGTGTATCTTCGGCTTTGTGCGCCGCTTGGGCAAGGGCAGGCATCAAAGCAGCTGGAGCCCAAGGAAAGGTGGCATCACAGCCGGGATGGTGATCTTGCCATGGCCCCTCCAGAACCTGTACCTGGAAGCTGGGCAGAAAAAAGAAAAAGTGGCCAGAAACAACAAATGCGACTCCATCAGCGAAATGTCTGCCTGTACCTTTTTGGATCTTCCAATCATGTCTGCCATGTCTGCCTTTTAGACGGGTTTGATAGATGAAAAGGCAGACTTTTGCACAGTTGGAACATCTAAGGCATGTTGTTCCCAACTCCGCGTCTCCCCCCAACTCCCACCACCCCTATAGTCGAGTGGTAGTGGCTTCGGTGGCTTCCCTTCCGAAGTGGCGATCTCGGTGACCGATGGCGAACTTGCCGGTTCGGCGGGGCCTCCTGACCCGGTTCCGGCAGCTTGCGGAAGAGCGGATGTGGACAGCAGCGCTCGAAGGAGAAAAAGCCCTGTGAGAAGCAAAGGTCCAATCCTTCAGAGTGGTTTTGGAGTTTAAAAGAACCATGCAAACGCAGTCATCAGCGGCGTCGACACACAAGTCATCACAGTCTGCCGGAAGATTCCCAGTGCTGATGTTTGAGCGGATGCTACGATGAATTACAAAATGTTCACCATGTTGGCATCATCATGTATTTGCAATTTGTATATAGACGACTTATTGACATCGCTGATTCACCGTTTCTCCCAACAACCCGCAAAATCCTCCGCAAAAAAAATAAGAAAAGAACAAATACAACGACAGGAAGACTCCCTCACTCGTCCCCAAAAACCCAAAAACCGACTCTCTCGGTGAAGAAAACGGCAACGGCGCGTTGCCGACGCGGTCGCTCGGCCACGCGGTCGCTCGGCGGGTCCTTGGGGTCCATAGGCTTGGACGCTGCAACACTCCCGGTAGACCCAGTAGTCGGTCCAGCACAGCAGCTCCGCCATGGTTGCAGGTCCCCGGCCACACGGACCACCCGGTGAGGACGGACGGAGGGGGACGGGCCTTCGCCAGTCCGGGCGCGTTTGGAGTGGGTGTGGAGTGGGTGTGGAGTGGGTGTGGGTGGAGTGGGTCTGTGGGGTGGGCACCGGAGAGTGGCACGGTCCGTGTTGTGGCGGAGAATCCAAAGGTGGGTGCATGATTTGGATGTTTTGGAGCAGCTCCATAATAGAAATGCAAGGTGCAAGGAGAGGTCCTCAAAAGTCCTCAAACACCTAGGTTTGAAAATGTACAAATGTCCCCATTGCTGCCGGCCGGTGAGCCAAGAGAAGTGTTGGCCCTGCAGAATTGGCGCAAAGCGACTGCTGAATTCTAGAATGTGGGTCCACTGTTGGACATATGCCAAAAGCTCCTTTTGGCTGCACAGCTGCAATATGGAAGCACAATGTCTTAGAAGCGCAGCTTCTTGCGCAGGTAGAGGACATCCTGCAGTGCATAGCAGCAAAGCAAAACCATATACAACCCCAAAGAATGTGTAAAAGGCGAGAGAGAGAGAGAGAGAGTACTTCGATGTTCAATAATGTAGTAAACATCCTAAGTCCTAGTACCACCCCCAAACAGCAGAGAAACAAAGGAATTAAAGCTACGAAGGTGTTTTTAGGTCGAAGGAAAGAATGTGTTCAAAATGTTCTCAAAAGAGTCACTTCGAACAACTAAGAAAAAAAGTACACCGTCGCCCTATCTCTTCCGTTCTCAGTTCCAAAGACGCTCCTTGGAAGGGCGACCGGACTTGTCTGCTGGTGGTGCCTGGAACTTCTCCTGGAAGAGACCTGATTCCCACCACACGGGCGTTCAACAAAAAATGAAGTCACATCATCCACCACCCAACTGTGTTTGTGTGATTTCGTTTCAACAATGCGGTTCACCCAGGTTTGGAGTGAAGCACAGCTGGTTCCCATTTTGTTCCAGGCGGCTCTTGGCCATCTTTCTGGCTTCCTTGCGACCATCCAGAGAGTCCATCTGCTGGTCGGTGCAAATGGTGGCGGGGGACATCTCTGCAGGCACCTCTCTGGTGGCGAAAGCGCCAAGCGAATCAACAAAAACGCCAAGCGAAATAAAGCCATCACGAGTGGTGCCTGGGCGACTCGTCTTGCTTTAAATGGAACAAGGGACCGTGTTTGGCACTCGTTCCTGGCCAATCCTCCCGTGTTTTGCGGGACAACTGTTGAAACGGTGCTCTTTGCATTCTTTTGCCAATCACTTTATTACAGCTCAGAATTGTTTGAACGGTAGGTGAATCATGGTGAAACTATGTCGCTAGTGTCGGAGAAGAGTCTGAGTCGAAAGTGATATGAGAACGTGCAGAAACATCAGATTCGACATCCCCCTGCCAGATGCTTCATTTTCACGAACCCCGTGCAGAATCGTCACGATCGTTCCGGATGTTGGAGTCCCTGACACTCAGGCACCTGGTATCTGGTGGGCATGATGTGGTTGTAGTTCACATACTTCACGAAAGGCCTCAAAACAACAAGAGGACTGGAGACCAGCAGGAAGAAAAGGGGCAGCCACCGTGGTTGCTCAGGCAGAATCGTAAGGCGCCCACTTCACCTTGGTGCGCTTGGTGATCTTCTTCTTGGACATTTGCCTGTCGCATTTCTTTCAACGCCGCGTCCCGCCCCCGCTCTCGATCCCCGCGGGACCCCGGCCTCGTCACCTTGAGCGGCGCTCGGTCGATGCCCGCCACCATGCAGTGGCCGAAGGGACGCTGCTTGGAGCCGTCATCAAAGGCCTTCACCACAATCGCCTGCGAACAAAAAAAACATTAAAAAAACGCCGTGTTTCGGGCTGTTTTTCAGCAGTTCGGAAGTGTTTCGGTGTCGTGTATTTCAGTATTTCAGTAGGATCGATGAAGCCATTTGTTGCATGGCAATATTGAAGTGGTTGTTTTTAATATACGCTCAGGCTAGGAAGTCTGCATCCCGGCAGCGCCCTGTGTTGCAATAGGATGAAATAGGTCTCTTTCGGCCGGGTCCGCTGGCATCGCTGGCATCTAAGATCATCTGATTTAACTCAGCTGGCCTCGTCAACTGGTTCGATTAAAAGCAAAAACACACCTTTGCCCGGTCAGGCTAGCATTTGTAGCAGTCTCTGCGGAGTGAGCGGCTACTTGAGTGGCTCAAGTCTGGTGCTAAGAGATTTCAACAGTGATATGGTTGCCGCATGATCCTATAACTCGCTGGTAACTCGTGCACGTTGGAAACCTCCGCGACATAGTTGAGTAGATGACCACCTTGATACGCCGATCCATCCTACCCCTCCACATTGCAGATAATCTAAGAATCTAATAGTAATGTCCTTCAAATAGAGCTGTGTGGAGCTTGACAATCCCCAAAACGGTTTTGGAGGGAGTCTGAAGTCAGTCAATGTATATGCTTTATTTCTTCATATTCCTGGTCTTTCCTGAGTGGAATGATGTGGCGGACGAGGTTCAGCCCTGCCTTCTTCCCAGCGTAGCGGCCCTTGCGATCGACATCAAGTGTAGTTCACAAATATGTTCATGTCCATTGCTCAGTGACGGACTAGCCTGCAGCATGACCACCACGCGCCCAGCTTTCAGAAACTTACCTCAGTACGCAAACTGTTCAGAAGGAACCTAACGAATCATCACGAATCCTTATGCCCTATCCATATCCTTATTCATCTTATTGCCATGTCTGCCATATCTGCCAATATATTTCCTGATGTTTTCCACATGTTTCCATCTCGGATCCGCTCGGAGGACCGGTGACGAGTCAGAACAACGCTCCGCTCCGCCGTCGCCGCCGAAACCGACGCTTCTTCGCCGTGGTGCCCATGGTCCGCGCTTCCAGCAGTGCTACCGTGCGTCCGACAGCCGGTCCCTCAAACGGTTGCGGCGAGCAAGGTGCACAGAAGTCGAGGGGTGCACAGATGTCGTTCAATGTGGAATTACAGCATGGCTGCCAGCTGCCATTGGCTTGAGGAAAGACATGCACGTTTTTGGGGGGGCTGAATCTTTTTGAAAGTCAAGCCAGAATGGTGGTTGTTGCCCGAAAAACGCCTGCAATGTCCGTCTAATTACTTGATGTCATGCTATTTCTGCAGCTAAAGAACATCCTGGCACTTGACGGACAGACCCAGGCAGTATGACATCAACCACGTACATGCATGCCTCCATGCGTCGTTAATCGATAAAAGTTGTTCGAAGCTCAAGACTCTTCGAGCCAAGATCTTCGACCGGGGCTCCCGGAGACCGCGACGATCGCCAGATCCATGCCACGCGCGTTCACGCGCGTGATCCGCGATGTGTGAACACCGCAGTGATCGTGTGGCCGCGATGTGAGCTACATACATTTCTGAAGGCAGCTTGAAACCTTCATATCCCTTGATAAGTTGAAATAAGTTGTTGTCACAAAGCACAAACACCAAATACCTTGACCTGGCCATCGGCGATCCTGGCTGAGGCTTCAAGTTCTTGAAAACCCAGTACGCAAAAAAAAGAATTGCTAAGACTACTAGACAGAGACTGACTCTGCTGGGGGTGCTAGGCAAGCGATGCGGGTGCATCTGCAGCATGTCTCAAAAAAACGCCGGTGCATCTGCGCGTTCGTTCATCTCGAAGGTGTCTAGTTCTACTCCCGTCCTTTCGTTTTCGGTTCGTTTCACCCACTGACCCATCTCGGGGGACTTCTTCGACTCCTTCGAGCGTCCACGCGTCCAGCGAAGAACCGAGCGTGACATGCGGGACGGAGCCCAACACGCCCATGAGACGACACTCGTGGTGCAGGATTGCGGGGTGGATCTGCAATCCCCCCGAAGACCAATGTATTCGACCGTACCTTCGCATCCAGCCTTTCACTGGTTCAAACCAAGTAGAAACCTGTCTTGTGCCGCAAGTAGCTCGCATATGCTCTGGACACCGTTGCCTTTCTTGCTTGACATGCCGTGGATGGATGGCTTTTCAGGCAGGTCGTCAAATTTTCTCGTCTCCCTTTTTGCAGCATCGCCCCTGCAGAAGAACGGGGAGTACGTCGGAGCGGATCCGCGGATGGAACAGCGGTCACTCGGCATCTAGAGCAGCAAAGGGATCCAGAGGCCAAACATCAAAGAGACCACCTTCGAGGCGATCAAAAGCGAGTCGCCGTCGACCGTCCAATCGGCAAGAACTCGCAACAAGAAAAACGGCGGTGAACCACCGTGAACCACCATGCAGGCCAAGCATCTTTCGCGGTATTTGATTGTGGAAGCCTAGATGTTGCCAGATTGAGAGAATGCATCAATCTAAAAGGAGTCTCATCAAAATCTGTTACAGATTGGCATAGGACCACTCATAGGACCATTTACTTAGTCAATCTGCATTGCATTGCAAGCAGGATCTATTTCTGTGACCATTTTGGAAACACCAACCAAAAATAATGAGAAAGAACAAGCAAAAACCAGAAGCACCCAGGATTGAAAAGAACAATATAACATAATATAAAGCAATATATTAAATGTAAATTCAGTACAATATCAAACTCAAACTTCGGCCGAGCCACGTCAACGTGGAAGAAGTCTCCACATCTGCCGTCGTGGCCTGAGCGAACCGCGAACCGTTCGCCGGACCGAACCGGTTGACCGACGGGACCGGTGTCCTGAGGACCCCCAACGGTGTCGCCGTCGCCCTCGTCGCCCTCGTTGTCGAGGAAGACCGTGTAAGCGACCAGCGTCTTCGTGGAAGAGCATTTCACCAGACCTCGCCACAGAACTTGTGGCATCTGGAGAAAAGATCTGAGAATGGAAATGGTCACATGATCTGAGAATGAGGGAGGCTGGATTCACAGCACGAGCACGACAGCAAGCCAGAGTTGTGCAATGATTTCAAGATGTTTCAAGATGAATCCGTGTCGCTTTTTGTCCGGGTGTCTGGATATGTGTGTATGGCATAGCGTCGCAGGTTCTGGGACAAATGCAAAAGCAAAAGCAGGAGCAAGAGGAGCCAATGATGGCAACAAATGCCAACAAAAGGCAGCCAAAGAAGCCACGGGCTATGAATTTATAAGCCTATCAGCATCTATCAACCCTAATCAAA